CTGTTTGTTTTGAGTTCTGCAGACGGGTTCAGGTCCAGGTCCAGGTCCAGGTCCAGGCTCTGGTCCCAGCAGGTGGGCTCTCTGATTAGATCCTGCGCCTCACCTGTGGGGGTAAATCAGCAGCCTCAGGTGTGGATTAACGGACCTCCAGTCAGAACCGAGCTCTGACAGCAGCCCAAGAAATGTTCTGGTTTAATCCATTTTAATCTGGTTTAATCCAGACTTAACCAAACTGGAACCTGATCAAAGGATCAGTTTGCTGAACAGACTCCAGTTTTATTGGGGACCCTAAGACTGATTCCAGTCCCAACGTCCCCCTTTAGTCCCATAAAACAGGAAGTTCAGAAACCAAGGGTAGACCTACCAGGTACTGGGTTCATGTTTTATTAATCATGACTGGATCTGGATCTGCACCTGGACCTTCTCTGGTTGCTCCTCTGGTTTCTCCTCACGTTGCTCCTCACGTTGCTCCTCTGGTTGATTCTCAGGTTGCTCCTCAGGTTGCTCCTCTGGTTGCTCCTCAGGTTGCTCCTCTGGTTGCTCCTCAGGTTGCTGCTCTGGTTGATTCTCTGGTTGATCCTCTGGTTGCTCCTCTGGTTGCTCCTCCGGTTGCTCCTCAGGTTGCTCCTCTGGTTGCTCTTCAGGTTGCTCCTCAGGTTGCTCCTCAGGTTGATTCTCAGGTTGCTCCTCAGGTTGCTCCTCAGGTTGATTCTCAGGTTGCTCCTCAGGTTGCTTCTCAGGTTGCTGCTCTGGTTGCTCCTCTGGTTGCTCTTCAGGTTGCTCCTTACATTGCTCCTCAGGTTGCTCCTCAGGTTGCTCCTCTGGTTGCTCTTCAGGTTGCTCCTTACATTGCTCCTCAGGTTGCTCCTCAGGTTGCTCCTCTGGTTGCTCTTCAGGTTGCTCCTTACATTGCTCCTCAGGTTACTGCTCTGGTTGCTGCTCTGGTTGCTCCTCTGGTTGCTCCTCTGGTTGCTCCTCAGGTTGCTGCTCTGGTTGCTCCTCAGGTTGCTCCTCAGGTTGATTCTCAGGTTGCTCCTCAGGTTGCTCCTCAGGTTGATTCTCAGGTTGCTCCTCAGGTTGCTCCTCAGGTTGCTGCTGTGGTTGCTCCTCAGTTTGCTTCTCAGGTTGCTGCTCTGGTTGCTCCTCAGGTTGCTGCTCTGGTTGCTCCTCTGGTTGCTCCTCAGGTTGCTCCTCAGGTTGCTCCTCTGGTTGCTCCTCAGGTTGCTCCTCAGGTTGCTCCTCTGGTTGCTCCTCAGGTTGCTCCTCAGGTTACTGCTCTGGTTGCTGCTCAGGTTGCTCCTCAGGTTACTGCTCT